GTGGAATGGGTGGTGGCAGTTTTGGTGGTTTTGGACAAGCTGCGTTACCATATGGTGGAATGGGTGGTGGCAGTTTTGGTGGTATGTCTCCTTATGCCGGTGGAGCTTCGTTTGGCGGTGCTTCCTTTGCTGGTGGTCCTTCATTCGGTGGTTTGAATCCATGTATTGCTCCTGCACCAGCTATGCCACAAATGCCAATGGCATGTCTTCCTCCACCAATGCCAATGTTATGTCCTCCACCACCTCCACCTCCTGTTGTGCAACAAGTTCCATTTCCATGTCCAGTACCTGTACCTGTACCACAACCACACCCATGTCCTGTTCCAGTTCCCGTACCAGTACCACAACCATGCCCCGTTCCAGTGTATGTACGCGAATGTGTACCTGTGCCGTAAGTTATCATTTTCTTTTTATTTGTTAACCAAGTCAAAACTTTTATAAAATGATCTTTACTTTTGTATCTATTTTCTAGACAACATGTACCAGTTCCTGTACCTGTTCCAGTTCCACAAATTCAAATTCAAGTAATATTTACTTCTTCTGACTATGAATTTTCTAATTTATTCTGTATTATTTGTTAGTGTGTACCCGTACCTGTTCCTCAACCATGTCCAGTGCCAGTTCCTGTACCTGTCGAACGTATTGTCTGTCAACCTGTGTAAGCCAATCAGTCATTACAAATAATATTATTTATTTCTTCATTTTCAGTTGTGTTCCTGTTCCGCAACCAGTACCTCAACTATGCCCTGTTCCTGTTCCTCAACCATGTCCTGTACCAGTTCATATTCAAGGACCTTCTCAAGTAAGTTATTAATAGTTGATTTTTCGTTTTGTTGCATGACGATCAACGTAAAAATGAAAAGAACATGATCATGAATTGTTCAATATATGTATTTTTTTTTGTTAGTGTGTGCCTGTACCTGTTCCTCAACCATGTGCTGTCCCAGTTCCACAACCATGTCCATTTCCAGTTCCTGTACCTGGTCCATCTCAATGTGTGCCAGTGCCTGTACCTGTTCCTCAACCATGTGCAGTGCCTGTGTGTGTACCTCAACCAGCTCCAATGCCTATGCCTATGCCAATGCAAATGCCAATGCCAATGCCAATGCCCAATCCCTGTGCTTCATTCGGTGGCGGGTATGTCATACTTTGTTTTTCTTTTTTTTTTTTAATATTAATATAATTTTTCTCTGTATTTCATAGATTGGCAGGTTATGGTGCTCCATTAATGGGTGGAATGATGGGAGGAGGTCTTGGCGCATATGGGTAAACATTGTGAACGAATAAATTTTTAATTTTTTATAATCATAATATTTTTTCTAGTGCTGGTATCGGTGGCCTCGGCGGTGGTCTAGGAGGTCTAGGTGGATTTGGTGGTCTAGGAAGTTTTGGTGGCCTCGGCGGCAGTCTAGGAGGCCTCGGTGGTGGTCTAGGAGGCCTCTGCGGCGGTCTAGGAGGTTTAGGTGGCCTCGGTGGCGGTCTAGGAGGTTTAGGTGGACTTGGTGGTCTAGGAGGATTTGGTGGACTTGGTGGTTTAGGAGGATTGGGTGGGCTTTGTCCCATGGGTGGTGTACCTATTGGTTTTGGTGTGACAACAACAACAGCAGGTCCCACTACGTTCACAGACGATTTCTTCCCAGGTACCTTTGGTCCAGGTCCCATAGGACCGGGTGGCTCCTTTGGTCGACCATTTTAAATTTAATTATCGATCGACCAGCTACCCGAATGAATAAACTTATCAAACAGACAGAACGACAAGTGCTCATACCACTTGTCAAAAACACATCTAGATCTATGAGCGTTGCAAACGACTCTTTTTTTCTTTTTTTAACTCTATTTGAGGTCTTTCATTTAAATCTCATTTTACACACATTTTGTACTGGTTCATTTTATTTTACGTCATTTCATATCCTTTACAATTTCATTATTTTATTTCTTGTCATCGTCTTATGTCTTTCATATTTGTGTGTCTATGTCTTGTTCGCCTCTCTTTGTATCTGTAAACGTTCAGATAGGTGTATGTTTTTGTCCGTATTTGTATGTTGTATTGTGCAGGTGTCTATTCTTAAATTTCATTTTCATTTTATTAAAATAAATTCATATTCCATAATTTTTTCCTTTCCTTTTCTTTTTTTTTTGGCCTTTCTCTTTTCTTTTTTTTTGAATTTTATGCTAATTTAAAACATGTCTCACATGACGTAATCTCGTACTATACGATTGATGTTACAAGATTGTACGTGATTAGTGTCCTTGTTACAGTTCAATGAATAGTTGAATAAGAGCGTGAAAGTGTGTGCGCACATTAGATGAATGTAACGTGCGACCTTTACTAGAAAAATGAAGGTTGATTATGAATTGATTCATTAGTTGACAAATGAAAAAAAAAATGACATTGATTAGTCTGGATACCTTGAGTGTATATAAGAAATGAGGACGATGTTAAATTAGAAATGGTTATGGGACGTGAAGGCTCTTTTTTTTTTCCTTATTTATCTAATCTCGATTTTTTTGTTCTTTATGATTTATCTCTAGGTTTGCAAATGAACTGATTTTATTCGATTTAAATTATTTATTATGAAAATAAATATTATTTTAAAATTCACTTTAATAAAATTAATGAACATAAAATAAGAAAGATACGATTTTTGATTTTCGATTTTTTTTTCCATTTGTTTTATAGTTTATATCTGTTTGAATATTTTCTTTCTTTTTTTGTTTTGTTTTTTAGTTAAATACATTCAATCTAAAATATATTCACTTTGGTACTTATATTTTATTTTATTATTTTAATATGTTTTATTACAGTTACAATATGTTGTATATAAAATGAATTATATTTATTTTAATGACTTGTGATAAAATCAATACATCAATTTTTTTCTATTTTGGTTTGACCACTTGAATAAAGATCGATAGTTATTCTCTTCTCATATATCTAGATTTTTTATAACTGTAAATAAGTATTATTTAATTTTAAATAATCAATATCATTTCATAGATTCATTTTATTAAATCATTTATTTCCATGAATTCTTAATCATATTTTACAAATTACTTTTCTTTATATTTCATTACTTTTTTCGCTTAATTTTTATCATGGCATTCATCAAGTTTGATATTTTGCTTTTATTTTTCGATATATTTTATTGATCTACTATTTTCTAGATTGTCTATCGATTTCTTCCATTTTATTTACCGAAAATAATCCTTGAAGCATTCTATGGATATTTTACATTGTATTTTCATCGATTTGAATTGTACAAGAATTTCATAATCCAATGTATAATATGATAATTGATATAACACAATTGACTGTAAGAAAATGACTTTTTATTATTGCAAAAAATGGACTTTCTTTTTTTGTTTAAATAAATTTAGATATTTCATATTATATTTTGTATTTAATTTTTTTGATTATGCGAGCATTTAATAAACTTCGTAACATGTCTTATTTTGGTATGTATGATTATTATTGAAAATTACAAAAAAAAAAATTTGTTTTTTTAAGAGATGTTCAATTAAAATTTGTAATGATTTTAATGCTTTGTGTTATATTAATTTCAATTATTATTATAACAATTCGATGGGATTTTTATTATTTTATATTTTCTAATTAATCTTTATTTATATACAATGGCATATGTATATTTACCAGCTAATACTATTACAACAATTGATTTATTATTTCGTAATAATTCAATATTTTCTATGGTGAATGATTCGGAAGAAGTTATGGTTTATGAGTAAATAAAGAATTGAATAGAAAAAATATTTGATTTGATTATGACACATATCAATTGACATCAATAAGACAATGAACTTATATTTATTTATTTGTTTAATAGTTTTGTTTTTTTTGTTATATCTTTCATTTTAATGAATTGTATATTAGTTCTTGTTTTTTTTTTCTCTATTAAATTTCGTATTTTGTTTACGTTCTTAATCAAATTTCTTTATATAATTATATATGAATATTGATATACATTATAATGAATAAAAATTATAAATGATGAAAGGTAAAAAAATAGACATTTATATTGATGTAGATTAATAAATGAAATGACAAGTAAAATTAACCGTAAGAACAAAAAATATATATATTTGATTTATATAAATGTTTGAATATATGTAATAAATATGTGACATAAACTACTTATTTATTAATATTCTTTTCTTTTTGGTTAATGATACACTATAAAAATAATTTTTATAGAAAGAAAAAAAAAAAAACATTATTAGCGTTTATCTTGTTTTAAATCAAAACTAATTTTTATATTTGGTGGATTTTGTAAATCCTCATCAAAATCACTTGAACTAATCATTGATTTAATTGTATCATTAAATAATTGTGAATTATCATCATCATCTGATGGTGCTTGATTAAGTGATTCTAATGAACCTTTTATTATTTTTTGATGATTTTTTTTTATTTTATATTTTTGTTTAATAGATGATGGTGTTGATGGTAATATATTATCTATAGATTTTCTTGTAAAATATCCAAATGGACGTACAGGTGGAAATATATATCTAGCTGAAGGTTGTTTTGCTAAAGGTATTATTGTTTCATATTGTTGTTGTTGTTCAGATATAAATGGATCTATAATAGTTAATTTATTACAATTACATACTTGTTTTTCTGTATGCATTAAAATTTTTTCACGTGAATCTTGTATTCGTTTATCACGAGAACTCATTGCTGTTGATTGTCGTTCTAATGAACTTGATCTTTGACGATATTGTTGATTTTTTAATAAAGGAAGATCAATATTATTTAATTTTTCTTTCATTCGATATTGATATGTTTGTGATGATAATGATGTATGTGGTAATGTTGGAGCATTAAAATGATATACAGTTAATGCTTGAGGTTGTTTTATAATACGTTCTGAAGATAATACTGTTGGTTTTGATATTGTATGTTCATTTATTAATCGATTATTTTGTATAGAATTTGATTTATTATCTAAATATTCAATAGCACGATGATAAAGACGATATTCTTCATGATGACATTGTTTTATAAGATCATTAAGTGTTCCAACATGTACAGCATTTCCTTCGATACCATTAAATTCATCATTAATTAATGTTTTTGTTGAATTTGTTGTCATTGTAATAGCTGTTGGTTGTCGACGATAAGATTTTGTTGTTGCTGATGATGGAAGAATATTTAATGTTTCATTAATATTTATATTTGTATGATTTTGTAATTGATGATGAAGAGAATCATAATGTTTTCGACGACAACGTATAGGTGTATTTCGTAAAGTATCAACATTTAAATCTGATTTCATACGAAGTTTATATTCAATACGATCGAGTGTTAATGAATTTTTTTGATTATTTATTAATTGATGAAAAGCAACAACTGATGGTTTATTTTGATAATTAAAACGTTGTGAATGAGCTGAAATAGGAATTTTTTTTGAAACATTTGACTTTTTCATTGAATATTGTCGATATGGATTTGAATGTAAATATTTTTCTAAATCAAAAAGACATGATTCACTCATCGAATCGAATGCCATAGTAAATTATCTAGAATAAAATAAATAAATAAATAAATCATCATACGCTAGTTTATTTGTTGTTCAAGAAAAAAACCAAACATTTCTATCGTTATTCATCTTGCTCATACGTATGTATAAGGAAAACGAATAGAGAAGAAACTATTCTTGACAACACATAAAATGACATCAAGAATGTTTTCACATGTTTGTTACTAACAAGTAAATTATGAATAAAATTCATTGCTTATAAAAGAAGAAACTTTTGAAATACATTCGGAATATATAAGGATAAAGATCAAGTATTATCTACAGAGATTCGATATTTTTAATTGTAACATAACTTAAATAGAAAACATTATTTAACTAGATAAATATATATATTTACATTGTATTGAATAAAGTTTTATATATATTCATAAAATTAACAAAACAATACGATCATCATCTAAATCAAAACAATTCTTGTCAGTTGTCTATTGACTTACCTATTGGATGTATTAAATTTTTCTTTATTATGTTGTTGACAATCGAACTTCATTTATAATAACAATGCTTCTATATTTTATGTTTAAAGTTTACATGCTGACTGACAGACAGACAGTCAGTCAGAGAAAATATGTATGGAGAAAAGTGAGTGATTTTTTTCTTTCAATGTATTTCAAGTACCTACATGACACATATAAATGTTCAAAATGTAAAAAGAAAGAAAAAAAAAAAAAACTAAATAAAACATTTACAGAATGCGACATTGCTTTTCTATTGTTATGATTTGAATAAATAAAAAAATAGTATTGATAAAATATGCAATACTGTCAACAAAATGTTCTGTTTAAATAATCAATATGGTACATAATGACAGTTTTTCTGTTGAGTAAGATCAAATTCAAAAAAAAAAGAAAGAATACAATTCATTATATGAAGAAAAATGAAAATACTTTTATATACTTATTCGTCATATATTTATTTGAGAATTTAGATCGTTGATATTTTTCTAATAAATTTATAATTCACAAAAAAAGAAAGGAATAATTAACTAAAATCATTATTTAAAATGATTTAGTCTATCTTATTCTCTTTTTTTTTTTTTATTAAATATGATGAATCATTGTTTACATTTATTGTAATAAACTTTATAGAAATAATTTTCGCTTTTATTTGATCATATGAATTTTAGTATTAAATTTGCCTAGAGTTTTATTTTATCTAACATATCAACTATTAAACTTTCCAACTATATTAACAGTAATAAATGTTTGTTTTCTATGAAATCAAATAAAAATTGAAATGATAATTTAGATCAATCTAATGTTTATTATACATAAAATAAATTAAGGTGCTAAAATAAAATCATTTTTGTTGCCTTATGGTAAACTTTGCCATAAAGGTGTCTTACCATTCAATGCTATTTATAATGTAATTAATTGCTATAGTTGTGTTAGTTGGACTATTAGTCTTTCTTCATTTATATAGAAATGGTGTTTATTCACCATTTTCTTTGCCTTCAAGAAAAAAACAAATGTTTTTTTTTTCTATCGACAGACAAATTTACATCAATATTAACGACTGATCATAATTTCACACATCTCTTATTTTCGTTTTTTCATACAATATAAAATAAGACTGACTACGCATATTATATTTCTTTATTTTTAAAAACAGCATCTAAATATGGGACTATACAGGACATTAGCTATCGTCTTTTGTCTTGCAATTTCTGGGATAGTAATCAGTTCCGTATTGATATTATCACTCATTCCACTCTATGTTCCATCAAGAGATTTAATTGTTTCAAATATAGATAAGTTTTTTTCTCTTCTATTTTATATCTAAAATATTTCAATCAAAATTTGATTTATTTAAGTAGGACACGATCATTTCAATGCATTTCTCAATTTTCTAAAATATCAAAGCGTCAAACTTTAACAGCATATGTTGATCCAGTAGATGCATCTAGTTTTCCTGTTTTACAAAAATTTGTTAGTATTTCTAATAAAACTAATAAATATTATTTAATAAAATTCTATTAGATTCGAAATGTTTTAACAAAATGGAGTAAAGTACCAAGAAGTGTTATAGTACATGTTGAAGAAGCATATATGTAAGTAAAATTTTTACTTTACATTCAAGAAGAACAATTTCGATTATGTCTTTTTTTTATTCTTCTAGAGATTTTTCAGATAATACATTATATATGTTGGGAAATTATATATTTTCAATTTTTTGCAAAGAATCATGTCAAAATCATATAATTAATTCCCCATTAATAATTAGCGGTCAAATACAAACTTTAAACAATTTCTCAATTTTTGGTCTCAGTATAGATGTTCGCATAATGATTCATAAAAATATAAATAATTTAAGATTACGAAGTTTATCATTTGTTAGTGAGAACCTTACAGGTAGAATAATAATATCATTTTATGATTTGTTTTTTTTTTTGAATTTTAATATCTTTCAATTCTAAAGATCCAATCATTTTTAAATTTACTATGAGACCAACGTCTAAGATTCTACTACATTCTCAACGGCGACAAGTAGCTAATACTAATGAAAATGAGTCGGTATATAAATTGGTATGTGTAAATATTTGACTGTAGATCTCAAAATATTGTGTTGAAAACTTAATTGAACTGGAGTTGTTCATACGTTGCTTTCTAAAGATTTTTTTCAATATTTTTTGTCAATCTAAAAAACTTCTTTTTTTTATATAGATCCGACAAATGCTTGGTCTTACTAATAAAGTTCGAAACATTTCATTTATTATTACTGATTTCAATTTGGCACAAGGAAATGGTTCACCGCAATTATTTGTTACAGTTCGACTTCGGCATCCAATCTATTGTACAACAACATGTATAGATGAAATTATTGATGATTTGTTTGAAACGCTTCTCGGTAGCAGTCAAATCAATGGTTTTACTTATACAAATGGAATCACAACGTATATAATAGATAAAATTGATCTTATAGGAGTTGGTAGATCAGCTCCAGGTGAGAGATTTTTATTTATATATCTGATTTTACTTATTATTGTTATTTTTAGCTTCTTTCTTCATCTTAAGCTACCCAATAGAAAACATGACAAATATTACTGAGGGTCCAATTACTGACAGAACGTCACTGATTAATATAAAAAGCGGCGTTAGTTATTCACACTATTTAAATAAGTTCATTTACAATATTCGACTATTTTGAAATTATAGATAGAACAATCACTTAGTCCATCGAGGGACATCAAAGTTCTAGGAGCATCTATTGCTCGAGATGAAACATCTATGGCAAAAGCATTGTCTGTGGAACGACGCATTCGACGGCAACGTCAAATTCGATATCTACTTATTGTTATTATTCGGTTTATTGTCGACTTTTTTATATGTAACTCTCGATGTCAACGGAACATTTTCATACCCATAGTGATCAATATAAGCCCACCCCCGAATATTTCCATAAGGGGTGACATATTTAAATTACTAAAACCGCAGATCCGTAAGCTATGGAATTTTTCTTGAATGAAATAAGTATTGCATTTTATGTTCCATCATTTAGAAACAATTCAAGGATTTACACTATCATCAACTACAGCGAGTGTGTATCATACGGAAACAATCGTTTGTTAGTAATAAATTTTTCGTTTCTTTGTAGCTACAAGTACAACGACAAGAAATGGAACAATAACGCCAATAACAATACCGAATTTGACAACCCCAGGTTCAGAAGGTTCAAACACTACAGCAGTACAAGGCACAAGATAAGCAAAAGAAAATCCAACAGCAGCAACATCATACTAATAGCAATAGACATAATGACTAAATAGAGCAATAATAGAGAACTTGATAATGCAGTGAAAAATATTTAAGCGATAATTTGAATTATTTGTTGTTAAACAGAAATCAAGCAGTTTTTTTAATGAAAAATCCTATATAATAAAAGAATTGGATTAAAAAGGATTTAAATTGTATAGGTACTTATGGAAATAATCTTTTTTTTGTTCAAGATTTTAATGGATGATCTGATATGAAATTAGATACTCATTTGAAATCGGTTATATTTTTCAAGACGTAGTGAAATCTCGATTTTATCGAATTTCGATTGAGACTCCCTCAATTGATTGGAATTGAGAATGTATATTCAATGAGATTTTGGCTTAAAGTCAGTTTATGTTACGAGTTCTTATAAATTTATAAGATTAGATAAAATACGAAAGAAAAAGATAGAACAAAACAGTTTTGAATTAATCTATATTTTTTCTTTAGTAGATTTAGGTTGTCGAATCAACCTTTTGTAGTTTGCGATAATATTTGAGAAAAAAAAAACCAGATTCTCTGAACCTTGTTCGACAAACAAATGATCATGTATGCCTAATTCGTAACCAAGATAATCATAAAAGTATATGCCGGCGTCAAATTTCAATAAATCATAGTTAACGAACATGTATTCAAACTTTTTACAAAGATGTTTATGAATGATTAACTGAGATTACTATCTAGCTGTTAATATACAGTGGTCCACAAGTCATTTGTCAGTCTTTGTTTGTGAATAACTCTTGGTAAGACCAAGATAAAGAGCTGCTGCCTTCATCGTTTGAAAGAGGCTGTCTCACTGAATGATTACATGTATTATTCAACAATGTCGGTTGATGATCGAATTATCAGTTAGTGAGCTTCAGAAAAATACTGATAGTTTTATGAACATGACACAGACGGTTAATTCTAAGAAATGCACTAGATCTTCATGCTCGCGATCCACATCCACACCCTCAAGGTCTAGTATTACACCAATAATCCTTTAACGGATCAAGATAAAAATTTCAGGTTTGGATATGGATGCGGCTCATGAGTATGCGGATTCAGTACATTTTTCTTGAATTAAAATTTGGTGCCATCTTCATCGAGCTATCAGTATTGGTCTGAAATCCACTGACTAACAATTTGATCATTCACCTACTATGCCAATAATTAGGGTGTATCATCTCTTCATCTTTTATCTGTTTAATAATATAAGAGCGTTCCGTTGCCATTTGGCTAGGCGTGCTGATCTCATTAACGATAATAGCTGCCTGCTCATCCTGTTCTTTATTCTCTCTTCTCAATCGATTTCTGTCTTTTATAGTAGCCCGTGTTCTATATTAAGTAGAAACAACTGAAATGATGAAGTAATGCACTGAACATCTTTATTCAGGATAGCCATAAGGCTACTTTTCCAGTTTGCTATTGTTGTTCATACTAAAATACACACTGCATTGATGACGAAATGGATCATCTCTTCCATTTGCGTTACACCAACATTGCTGAATCATACAATAGAGTCATGCAGTGGCACAGCTTCTATCAAACTGTGGAAGCCGTAGCTCCCTATCTTATTCTTATTAAAAGTTATTCGCTAACAAAGACTATCGAGTGACTTTTGAAGTATTCTGTATTTTATGAAGCTCATCTAACTTGATAGATTTTAGATAATCATTTGGTAGATTAGTTGAGTAGCAATTCTTATTTCTTCGAAAGTTATCAGCTCACTATAGATGAATAAAACACAAAAGTGAATGAGTATTTTTGTTTTATTGTTTGATGAATAGTTCGTTAATTAACTTTTCGTCTTTTCTTTCATTGATATCGAATGATATTCTAATGCTTTAGCAAAATTTTTAATATTATGATAAAAGCAACCAATATTGTTGTATGTTGTCAGAGCAGTGCCAGAATGATCAAGAGACAAGTTGGCTTGTTGAACTTCTAGAATTTTCTTAAGATATTTTAAAACCAAGTCATTTTTCTTCATTTTATCATATGTAATACCTATGAAATAATACGTTCAAGCAAGACTAATTGGATCAACTATTGATGCTTTTTAATATATTTCAACAGCATTTTTTAGTTTGATTGCAGCTTCTTCATAATTATTTTGTTCTAATAGTACATTTGCAATGTGACGGTAGCTATCTGTGAATTTTAAATGATCTTCTCCTAATACTAGTCTTTGAATTTGTAATGCTTCTGTAAAATGTTGAAGACTCTTGCCACATTCTTCATGTGGATTATATCCACATCCTAGTCCTATCTGAATATCTTCAAAAGAAAATTGAATTTCTATCAGCATTCTTCCCTAACATTGCTTTACTTGACGACATTCAGGGGGTGGGTAGAGGTTAAGCAGAGTTCAACAACCATATTCATACTCTACGATTAAGAAGTATTGTTGATGTTTACCATATAAGTAGGTGTTCTCAACAACAATGCCTTTTGTCGTTACTGCTATGACTGCATCGATTTTATCTACGAAATATGAGAGAATGTTACGTAAGATGAAACTGATTAAAACAACAACACGTACTACAATGGATAATTTCGATAATTTGCACAGAAATAGTAGAATTTTATTAAAGTGAAGTTTATAATTTTTGAAATATTTTGTTTTCGCTAAATAATTGAAAAACCATTTTAAAAGTTTGTTTCTACAAATAAATACATTGTTGCATTCGTTCTCTATGAAAAACGATACACTGTATCATCTTACACAACCTTCTTAAAAATTGTTAGAGTAGAGACCAACCACTCGACTTTTTCTAGTTACACTATTAGTGATATTGGTTCTTGCGAAATATAGATCGCTTCTGAATGATGTGTATAACTATTCGAAAAAATATATAAAATATCTTAATGTCTATTCTCAAGTGAACGGATATAAACAGACGTAGGAAGTATATCATTTTTCAACATCAACCCATCGTAATTTTGTATAAATCTATGGGTATTAAAAGAAATAATCCATGTTGCAAAAAAATCGAATTAGTTTTAGCAGTAAACTGTTTACAATGATCGGTAAATCGGATATTGAAACAGAAAAATTTTGCGTTAGCTACGAAGAGTGCTATTTTCTCATTTTTCATAGATTAAAAATATTTGATAATCTAATTCAACATATTAATTATATTTGTACTCACTCAATAGCGAAATGAAGATAAAAAACTAAAACGACAATAGATTTCACTGAGGAAATAGATTTTAGAGATCATTGTTCATACAGTTTTCGGATGATGATGTCTAAGGCGATAAAAACTTGATAGTCGAGATTATATTTATCTTCAATGTATCTTGTGTTCTGAGTGGACAGAAGCTAGTACAGAACAACTGATTTACTAGTTTTGATCAATGGAACATCAGAAAGACCTTCTAAACTGGATCCAAGTTATAACACATTTTCATACTGTGTTTTCGGGTGAACTCAGCGTGCCGACATTATCAGATTCATGCCAAATTATGAAAAAACTCAAAAATTTTCTAAAAAAAAATTGCAATGTCTTTTAGTTTAGTATCAAGTGGAAGCGATCAGTTTTATCCAAAAAAAAAACAAAATTATCGATAAATCGTGGTATACCGTCGGTTTCCATCACATGGGTATGTTTGTGGTAAACTTTTCTTTTCCTTTCTTATGTAACCGATGCTGTTGTTTTTCTACACTATATTAATACTTCTTAGAATCTCTAATTTATTATATGAGTACATATTAGGATAATTCCTTTTATATGGCATGATGTTCATTTGTTTAGTAACTTATACAGGATCAATTAGTATTATATTTAGAAAAAAAAAAGATTTACTTTTGCTTCACATGTTGTACAATTATACTTGATAAATATCTTTTTTTTTTTTTTTGTATATATGCATTGTCGTTCATCGAAACTTAAATCAGCGACATTGATATTCTTGTAAACAATAAATTTTATTGTGAATTCTATGGAAAAAGAAAGATTTGCCAATGAGAAAAAAAAAATCAAATCGATAAAAGAAAATTTCAAAGATCAAATATTTTCAAAAAAGACAAAATAAATAGTATTGACATAACAAAAAATCAAAAAAGAAAATCGAAACTATTTTATCTTTTCAATGATTATTATATGTTTAAAAAAAAAAAAAAAAAGATAAATATTTGTTAGTAATCCAAGCGCAAAATATCAAGGTTAAACTTTATTGGTGAAATCAATTTCTATCATAAGAAGAAGAAAAAAAAAAAAAAAAGAAGAAATGATATCCTTTTACTCTTGCACTTGATCAAACTATAAATTTATTTCGAAAAGGCTAAAGATAACATTTCTTTTTCTATCGATTCATTTCATGGCAAACATGGCTCGTCGTATTCTACTATTTTTGTTAATACTTTGTATATGCTATAAAGTAATCAATGGTAAAGGTCAATGTTCATGTTCATGTTGCAGTGGTAATCGATGTATAAAACGATATCAAGGTGCAATTAGTATGCCAACATGTTCATCTAAAAGTTGTAAACAAGCTTGTAAACTTCGTTATCCTGGTCAATGTGGTCGATCACCTGGTTCATTATTGGCATCATGTGCAAAAACAATAAAACCTCGTCGATTATCACTTTCAAAAAAGATGAGAGTAAAACATAGACCATCATCAAAAAAACATCTATTTCGTCGAACACATAGACGACCAGTAACAAGAACAAAAATTATTCGTCGAAAAACATATATACGTCGTCGACCTGTAACAAGACTTAGACCATCAAAGAAACGTTTACTTCGTCCTTCAAGAATTAGACCATCATCAAGAACACGTATACATCGTCGACCTTATTAGATGATGATTATTGAATTATTTTCAACAAAAATAATAAATATTCACTATTTTAATGAAATAATTTTGATTGATTAATGATTTTTGAAATAAAATTGATTTAATATTTCGAAATATTATAATGAAATAAAATAGTTTTTATAGAACTAATCAATTTTCAAATATTATTATTCAGAAAAATTTTTATTCAAATAACTTCATATTGACAAGAAGCTTTTCAAGTACTATGAGATTCATGTATTGAAGACTGTGTTGAAAGAGGATAAATACTTTATCTTGAATGTCCATTCATATAAACAAAATGGTAGCATCTGCTTTTAACTAATTTATTTTCCATATTAATGATGTAGAATAAATTAAATTTTCTTATTATTGTCATTTTTTTTTCTAGTACTTTATTTTATTGTACTACTAGATACTTCTTTTTCAATTATAAATTTTTCAAATAGTTTGCAGTGTTTATTGAAAAGTGACTTCATGTATCTTGTGTGAAAAGCTACTGTTGACACCTTACCACTAAAGTCACATTGATCATCCCAGACAGAAAATTATTACTATGTTAGTGATAATTCACCATCAATTAGACTCACCGAATTTTGGCTATAGCTTTTTTTTTTTATTGCGAATCGTCGAATTCTCTACAAAATTTGATCGTACTTCTCACGACAGAAATTATATGAGAACTGGAAACCCATTAATGTCAAAGAATGTTCATTGAACTTTACCAGATTTAACAGGGAATTTTTAAATAAATAACCGGTGGTTCGAAACTTTTTAGACAAATTGTTTGTTCATTTTTCGTCCATGTGAAAATATTTCAGAAGAGTCCACAACTATGATTTAGAACTAGAATTGTGTGCTCTTTCCAGATATAAGTTCAGAAATTTTATATTTGTTTTTGCATGAGAGTAGTAAGAAAATCTTTGTGAACGTCCTGAAAAATTGATTCGTATGGCGAAAAGACATTGATTTGCTATTCTCGCAAGTTACTTTATGTAACGTTTTCGGTTGAATTTAGTGTATGTTATTACTTATTCTTATTATCTGACTGAGTTAACTGTTCATACATGATGTTTAACCTTCTTTCCATTGTCATTTGTTTATATACTCTGTCCTTCTTTTGTCATTTCTTTGTCCTTCCTTTTATTATGACAATGTATCATTGACTATGTCTCTCTCATTGACTCGTCTCGTCTCTCTTGATTGCGTATGTAAGAATATGTGTTGATGTAGGTAGGAGTGCGACTTTGTGATATGAAGAGAGGAATAAAATATAACTTCACTCGGATTAATAATTCTTCTATCAAAAAGTCGTTACATTTTGTAAAGTTGTTAAAAACGATTGAATTTAGTAATTTTTGTAAAGCTGACAAATCTGTACAAAATGTGATGTCGAACTAAAAATTTAGCGTTTACACACATGAAACTATAAGCATTTTCTCAAACACTACTTTCTATATAAAACGTGGTTTGATTTAAAAATCGATTTTTCAAAAGTGAGAGTGAAAAGAAAACAAAAATATTGGTGCCTTTCGAGAAGACAAAAAAAAAACGAAAATAGCATATTTTGTAGAATAGATTTTGTTCTACATGCTGATATATTAATGAAGGTTACAACATTAGATTTCAGATCCCAATAGTCAAAATACGAAAATGTATGGAAAAATTTCCCGTCCAAAGTATTTTTTTCAATCTTTTCGAAAATTTCTTTACTACTCTCGAATAAAATCTAGCAGATAATTTCGGTGCTCATATTCGGAAAGAGCACATAATTCTAATTCTAAACTATGGTTTTGGACTCTTCTGAAATATTTTCGCATGGACGAAAAATGAGCAAATATCTTGTCTTAAAACTTTTGGATCCATCGGTTATTTCATCTTTAGTTCAGCTGATGAAAAATGCGAGGCCTACGATCATTCTCAATTTGATTTTGACGAATGAATCTTGTATCTTTACTTGCATTTTATTACTCCTAAAATAGTTTCAAATGTTCTGGAATTTACAAAAAAAGAAAATTTACTTTTAAAATCAGTTTATTTCTTCGTTTTGTTTTTCTTATTCGCTTGTCGCCACGAGAAGTTTGACAAAGTTTCGTAGACGATTAGCGGATTCATCTTTTCGAAAAATAATAAGATCAAGATCTTCATGGAAAAAAAACTATAGTCAAAACACTGAGATGCTGATTTATTCTAGACAATGCATTACTTCTCTGTAAAATGACTTTAAGTACGTGTCATAGAAAAGATAATTTCGAATTCATACCAAAAAACAATCGATTTGTCAATTCTAGTCATATTTTGTAATGTTCTCTTCCATTGTTGGATGCATTGAAATGCCAAACATCTCAGATAATAGAAGTATTTTTGTTCTTTACAAAATAGGCTATTTCTATTATTTTTGATTTTTTTTGAATGCTATTTTTTCACAGCTGTACAAACACAAAACAATTTGTACTTTCATTTACTCCTATGTTTCCATCAATAAGATATGTACTCTCATCATCCTATATTTGGGGTCGAGAGTGTAGATCTTCTCTATACTCATACCCTATTCATATTGACTTCTAATTTTTTTTTGAATATATTTGTTTAATTAAGTTGTGAAATTTCTTCTTCAAAACGAAGTTAAAATTCAATTAACATGCCATCGACAATTGCATATCTAAACCTGCCTTATTTGGATCATTAGTGTATAGAACTATTCAATAGTTAGCTTATGAAATAGTTCTACTTGTTTGATGTGAATTAGATGAATAATTAAGACAAATATAAATTTGACGAATTAAACATTAGTTGCCATTCAAATGTCAATGGTTAGTTATTTAATTGAAGCTCTTTATTATTTTTATTTTTTGAGTTCATTTTTATGTTTACATTTGTGCGTTAGAATGATTCCGTCAATAATTAATTTATATATTATTTCTTATTTATCTTAAACGATTATGACGTTACTTTGCGTAACAAAAATCCACTAACATAATCCTATGTGTTTATAATATCAATGTGATTACTTTTATCTTTAGCCTAATGAAATATTTTTTGACAATGTGACATAAAGTAAAACAAGAATTAATGATAAAACGTAATTGGCCATAAATCTGATGTGATATTCATCAAATTGTATTTCCTATATTTCGTCTCTGACAATTTCCGTTAGTTAATATAACATGTTCATAATATATATATATCCAGTAATATTCTTCCTGTTTCGTCTTGTTTTTGATAGATAAAACAATTTATTGAAGTTTCTGATCATTGAATTAATACAACAAAATTCAACTCAAAGATTTTATTAACACTGAATAAATCCAAAAAAACAAACGCTGATCTTTCTTATGTCTAGACTCATTAATTGTGAACACTGCGATTTAAATTATCTACTGATAGTATTTTACTATCACAAGAGTAGCTTATCTGTTTTAATTAAAATTTTGAAAGAAAATATTTTTTTGAAAAAATTAATATTCTAAATACGATCGAATACATTTTGTACATAATTTCGCCTGAAAGTGCAAATATTTTTGATAGGTTTTCTAGCTTTTTCTGACCTTTTTTCATCAAATTGTATTTCATTTATAGAAGACACTGGAACAAGTATGGCTTTAATACTTCGAAGTACGAGTGAAGTGTTCGAGTCACGCTTTTTTCTTCTTGCGAACAAAGCTTTTGATATGTTTATCATGTTTTAAATCTTCTTCGTGATAAATTTATAATAAAATAATTTAATTTTACAAATATAAAATTTCGTTGTTGAAAACAATTTTTTCACATAAAGTTAAAATGATTATATTTGCAATAATTGTAGATTCATTCGTTTTAACCAGAGATGCTCGTCGGGGCACCCAGATGGTCGGGGCCCATGGAGAACCCATGGGGTGACGCCCCAAATGGGGATGGGGCGATATGTTACCCCATCATCTTCCCCACAATGGTGGATTTTCGCAAATTCATTTCCCTGCCCGTGGGGTGGACCATGGGGTGAAAAATCTTTTAACCCCATGGTCTAAATGAACTTTTATCATTTATGAAATCGTTTGAAAAAAATGGATGACGAGGTTGTAAAAATTGTCTTATCGTCGTACAAATAATACAGAATGTTACACGTTCTTCCTATATATTTTCTCTTTTGTTCTTCATTTTTGTTTTCCGTTGTTTTTCTTTCGTATTCAAGTAATACTATGAAAACGACGTTCCACTCTTTCGTTTTCTTTCTATAATTTTATAGTTACCTTCACTATTTCTTTCATTTTTCCAGCCGCCATTACTTCTTCTCTTTACTTTCTGTGTTCATCTTTCCATCAGTGACATACTTAGAGTATACCAAAAGTAGTGGTGCAAGTTCTGTAATTCGCTATAACACGTTTTAAGAAACTTTCTCTCTATATAGTTTGATAGAGAAAAGAATGCTCCATATTTCTATAGTATATGATTATACTTCAACTAATATTATAATAATAAAATTTCGATAAGATCTATTTTGTTCACATGTATTACAACCACATGAATGCTAGCAAGTATTTTCTTTTAAATAACTTTTGACAAAAAGAAGATAGAGAACTGCAGTTTTCACTATTAAAATCAGGAGATGAAGATGCATCGAATTGTATATTATATATTTTTTAATATTGATTTCTGAAGTATTTTTATTCAATTTTCTAACCGCCAGTAAAATGGTTTTTTATGGATAAAATGGAAAAGCAGAAAAGTTATCTTTTATTATAGAAATTGCTAGAAAATCGTATCAGAAGCGCCACTAGAATATAAATTATTGATGTCAAACGTCTGCAGTCTGTAGATTTTCGATTAGTGATTTGAATCTACACTTGATAATTGAAATTTCACTATAAACAACTTACTAAATAGATTTGTTCTTAAAAAAGTCAATTTAAAAAGCCACAGAAAACAGATCAAGAAATTCTGTCATATATAATTTGAATGAATTATCTTTTCTGTTCGCCCTATGGGTGGGGCGAAGGGCGCCCATGGTCGGGGGTGAGCTGAAGTTCAAAAACCCAGACTCCCCATAGATGGGGAAAGTGATTTTATAAAAATTGGCTTGTGGGGAACCCTGCGCATGGAAAGCCCATGGGCCCCATGGGGGTGCTGAAAAATATCACATGAGCATCTCTGGTTTTAACATTGTCTGAAGATGTCGTTTTCAATCATGAAACATTATATTGTAAAATTTAATTATTCTATAATAAGCTTATCAGAAATAGACTTAAAGACATGATAAACACAACAGATTTACCAGGTTTCATACTTCGAGATCATTTATAGATTGAGTGTAGTTAGATAGGTTAGTCGTAGAAAGGTCAAAAAGAAAAATATTGAAAAACATTATGTGTCAGATAAATGTTGACTTTAATTCTCTATAGTTTATTATTGATGAATGAGTAAAACAAGTGCTATTCAACTTCATATTGATAATCTTGATAAAGGATATTATGATGGTCTTATAAATGTAATGGAATATTTACGTAGTTCTGTGGAACTCACGTATATTTTTGGAGAAAACAGTGAGTAGAAGTTTTCCAACTCCTCACTACAGACATTAACAATCGAGGAAAAAAGAGCTGAACGGAATTAACGATATTAGATGGACTGTTCTAGAACATTCTACAGTCTTCATCAAAATTTGAATAGTTGGAGTACGTTTGTCAATTTTTTATTTTTGAACAAATTAAAATTTATATTCATGATATCAAGGACAGTGGGTAATGATGCATTGATTTGCTACGGTTGTCATAAAATCAACATAAAAAGTGTGAATTGATTAAGTTAGAATTTTGGAAAAGAATCAATATCAATGTTTGTGAGTTATTCGAGATATATAATAGTATGTTAAGACCTGCTGCTGTAGATTTGATGAATATGTACAACAGGTTTATTTGACATTTAATTCAATGCTGAAAATAATAATAATAACGTTAAATTAAGAAAATAAAACAAATTTGTACTGTGCTGATCGATTATTTTGGAACAGAATTATAGCCTATCAGAGATTTTTCACTTCATTTATTTTGTATTAGTATATGGAGGTTAAAGAATATAAATGAGTCCCAGGCTTCAGTCCTAGCGGGGCTAAACTAATAAGCTTTTTCATTTACAATCACTAAATAGAAAACATGACACTAATATTTCTTAATGACAGATTTAGAGGACGGGCGTTGGAAGCGATTCCTTCCTCCTCTTTCAAACCATTTTTCCTAACAGGAAATGCTTAAAAATAAGCTTTAAAACACATTTCAAGATCATAATCGCCCTTGATCCTCATCGAATCACCTCTCTATCATAAAAATCCTAGATCTGCTACTGCTATTTCTTTCGTTTTTTTTTGATCTCTTAAGTTGTGTATGATCTATGTTACAATATTTATATTATGCCACGAATAAAGAATGTCTTGTGAATTGAAATTTTCGACATTCCTATAGCACACCATTTGATGAAAAAAGATCAAGATTAGTTCGAGTACTCTTCATTTCTTGCAAAAATATTTACACTATTAGATGAGTTGATGTGCAAAATATGTTTGATTGAATTCAGAAAAATGATTTGTGAAAGTCTTGATTATTTAAAGAATCTTTGACATCTAAAATTTTAATGAACATTGAAAAATACTTCTCGTAATAGAAAATTCTTTCAACTATAGAAATAATTTTTCTGATTTATTCTTTGAAAGTCTAATGTTGTAGAATAATAAGTAGAAATATATAAATTTGTTTTATTTCAAAGTATTGTAAACAGTGAAATTTTATTGTGAACGTTTTTCTGCCCTTTAAACACGGTATATTCTTTTTTTTCTAATAAATAATATGAGAGTTCAGCACTTCCGAATATTAGTTTTTCAAAATTTAATTTAATTGCTAGTAAATGAATGAGAATTTATTTCTGTGACAATATAATTTGATAATTCAACAACATAAAATCCATAATTATTGAACAAAAAAAGAATGCACTGTTATATACTCATTCAATTTATTTCATTTTTAACGTCTTGTATACTCTACATCTTTAATCATGAACATCTAATTTATGAGTAAGTGCATTAGGATAGTCTGTGTCTCACATCTTCTTATTACTTCTTTTTTGTAATCTTCTATGAAGAAAAAAAAAGTGGGCATTTCTGAACAACAACACAATTCTTTTTTCCGGAAGTCAATTAATATCCTTTATCTTTTTTTTGAACTTTCTTCGTGATTAAGAAATTTATGGAAAATGAAACTATTAAATTTTCAAACAATCCTATAAATTGTATGATTTACATTTGAGTTTATGACGAAAAACTCATTATTATTAATACAAAATTATAATAGTTACATCTCAGAAATTATTATGATATGCCATTAACTGAATGATAATATATGCGTAGTTTATAATATTAGTGTCATATTCATTTATCTATTTGAATTATCATTTGACACTCAAATCTTACTTATATACTACGTCAAAAGTCCACATCAAATACATTCTATCATAGTATTTACAATACTCTTACATAAATATAAAAGAATATACTTTTCAGAGAGCACATATCTTATTTTTTAATATGTCGTCGACAATTTCATTATTTCTCAATCTTTCTCAACAAGTTGTTATTTATATGAATATTCCAGTTTTAATTGTTGGTGTTATTGGCGGAATATTTAATCTCATAGTATTTCTTAGTTTTAAAACATTTCGACAAAATTCATGTTCATTCTATTTAATGATTATGTCATGGGTTAATATTGGTCAATTACTTAGTGGTAATTTTACACGAATAATGGGTGGTGGATATAATATTGATTGGACACAAAATTCATTATTTTATTGCAAAATTCGATGGTATTTTATTCAATTATTTATATTAACATCATATGCATGTCTATGTTTTGCAACAATCGATCAATATTTAGCAACATCATCACGTTATCGATGGCAACAATGGAGTAATATTAAATTAGCATATTATCTTTGTTCAGCATCTTTTATTTTTGCAATGTTACATGGAATTCCTTCAATTATTTTTTATAATTATGGCTATTCAATTGTCACAGGTCAACGTGTTTGTACGATTACTAATAGCAACTATCAACAGTACAAAACATATGGTTATTTTTTAATCCTAACAGGTTTTTTACCAATTTTGATTACTGTTCTTTTTGGATCATTGGCATATAGAAATGTTCAACAAATAGCTTATCGCACAGTTCCACTTGTTCGACGTGAATTAGATAAACAATTAACAACTATGGTTCTTGTACAAGTTGTATATAGTTTGATTGTCATTATGCCTTATACTATATGTTTATCAGTAACAACTATGCTAAATCTAAGAAATGATCCAGTTATTGTTGCTAAATTACAATTTATTGAAGCTTTGGCTGGAGCTTTTTATTATTCATATTTTGCAGTAAATATAATTTAGTTGTTAATAAATTTAATATTTGATTTATTCATATTTTTTCTAGGCTCCATTCTATATCTATATTTGTGTATCAAAACGATTCCGACAACAATTAGCTTATGTACTTAGTCCTATTTTTATTAGTTGTTCTAGACGTCAGCCAATTATTAGTAATAATCAAGTAGTACCAGAAATTAATGGAAATTCATTTCAAAATTAGAATTCTATAATGTGACTTGATCTGTATCAGCGGCGGATTTCAATTGAACCTAATTGAATTGAGTTGGATAAAAGTTCGAACATTGAATTCGTACACGACTTTATTAATATTGTTGATTAATACGTTGTTTATGTTGTTGGTTATATCTATTGTGTATCTTTATTTCAATTTGTTTTTTATGTTTTTTGATCTTATTCGTCTATGAAATGAGTTTTATCTTTTTTCTTATACATATATATGTTATAACTTCTTGATGTATCGTCTTTTTTCATATCTTCTTTGATGAGAACAATATGAAAAACACTAATTGCATTCTAAAGGCTATTGCGTATTTCTATTATATTCATTATAATAAAAAATGTTGTAGAAGTAATTACATCTTTTCTATTAAGATCTTCTAATCGAAAAGCTTCTTTTTGTTATTACTTCCTTTTCATAAACATTTCAATTTAACATGCTGTTATGAAATGTTGATATTTATAAGTTTTCCAGGTTTAAATATAGTATCTATGTAGATGCAGATCAAACAAGATAGCCATGATTTTAAGTGTAGATGATGAAAAAAAAAACGCTAAAATTTTTGAATATGAACGGATTTGATAGAAATATATTACATATCAAAGTTCTAATAATATAAAAATATCATGCAAAAGTATTAAATATGCGTTTATTATAGCACGAATTACTATTTTAAAAAAAGTTTGACTTTTTTTAATAAAGTATTTGCTGTTCTTATTACGATAGTCACAACTGGTGGATTAGATTCTATATCTTTTATATGTAACAAAAAGAAATTATTAATCATAGAGAATTATAGTGTGAAATTCTTTTGCAATAATACCAGTTTCTATTTTTTTCTTGAAATTGTTAAACTAATTTAATAAAATGTCATACAACAGATTTTAGCGAACAATGAAAGACAATATCATGTTAGTCAGTACTTTTTAATATAGAAAAACATCGTTTTTCCATCTACTAATGTATAAAAATGATGTAAGCGTAAAAACTGCAGACACCTCGAAAGCTGTAAAATCGTATAGAATTCAAAACGATTAGTACACGAATTGCCATTCTGAACTGCGTTTTTTGTTTTCAACTGGAATATATTATTTTTTCCATACACACGGGCATTCATGATTGCTTTGATTTTTACTTATCTATTAAAAATTAAAACCAAGGTAACAATGAGTGTCCACAGCTTTTACAGATATCTATTGCACGGAGAATATTCTTATAGAAAAAAAATTAATATTTTAAGATAATAAAAATTCATGAGTAATGAGATAGTAACTAATAAAAATTGAAAAATGTCCACAATAATTACTTCAATTCTACTCTTTGTTTTACAAAAAATTCTCAGCTATATTGGAATATATTTCTTCGTACTTGCAATCAACGATGGTATACGATAATTAAGCTCTTAGTTATTATTTTTTTCTACAATAAATATTAATTATTCATTTGCAAATTATACAATTGTGACTAAACAAACTATTGACGTCACAATGTAACAAGCAGCTTGACCTATTAACGCATCACATTATCATGAATGAATTTACACATTATCGAATATGTTTCCGACTGATATTGTAGTTTGCATGTATGATTATCTTTCCATGAGATATTATCAAAGTAAATCCCATCGTTCTTTCCAACTGATCAACGCATGAGCAGCATAATATTTTGATGATAAGACTTTGAATATTACAAACAAATGTGTTCAAAAAGTCCTCGGGAGGGAGAAGGAGCAACTTATGTTGATCGATTTTCTATCGGTTATTACAGCTTTCTGAATGAGATTATCATTTTGAAGATGGATTATCATACTTTGATAACAATTTTGAATGTGAATAATATAAATATTATAACTGCTGAAAGCCTGATGATCGAGTTGTAACTGGGTAAGTACCAGACACTATTTGCATTTCAAATATACTGTACAAAGTATTTCGTATGATCAATCAAACATGAATGAAATCAGTTTACACGAAGGTCATATTTTCTAACATGATATCAATAATGTATTGACTATATATAGAACAATCATTAATAGTTCTTTATTCGTGTTTGAAACGACGAATTCATGCAAATATCATAGTATACAGTAGAACATTATTATTGTAAATTGTCACCATATATTCATAAATTTTCGATGACAGCTGCTCTTTCAAAACATACAACTTTGTTTAAGTTTTACATTTCATGTCAATGTATAGATAGTAGTCTAAAATATATCTCTATATTTTCATATGTTTCATGCAGCAAAGCTTATCGTGTCTATAGATAAAAGATTCCATGAACTACGCATAGGTAAGACTATCAATGCGACAGCACTTCTTATTGTTTTTAAATAAAATCAGTCCGAGAACTTTTTGAACGCATCGTTCGAAGAAAATAAAGAAGTCAACGATCATTGGATACGTTTTCCTAGCAACGGGAAAAGAGCGCGTCAATAATAAGAGTGCTAAGACCATTCTGGAACTTTCTAGAATCTTCTAAAACATTCTATGAATCGAATGTTTCTACTGTAGATTCTAATTAAATATAAATATTGCAAATTTTGATATTTAATGCAACAAAAGGATCTTATTGTAAGTGTCAATGTGAAAATTCATTGAGAGAAAGGACGGTATTCTCGGAAGCTTACTCAACGATTAAATCAATGTGTATAGTAGGTGAATATGGTTGTTGAAACAAAAAATAAAATGATATTTGATACTTCCTATAACATATATCGTATATATTATCATTAGATGAAAAGAGATTATGTATTGAAGATATATCTGACAATATAAATAAATTTTTTCAGTATAATGATATTAAATGAATCTAATAAATTAGTAGAATAGAATGGGAATTCTAAATGTAAACATTTTCGAAATGATAAAACTGTAGAACGTGTGTATGAACTATAAAAAATGTTATCATGTTGATTTATTTGACATCTTTTTAAAAAATAAATTATTTCAACTTTTCTGACACTATACCATAAATTTATAACAGTTAGAACATGTGAGTTTCACACATTGACTCTTCATGAAACTGCACTGATAAGTAATTATCAAGTTAGAAAATTCATTCAATCTATAACTTTCGATTTTTTAGGACATAATTACATGAGCATATATTTAAATTACCAAATAAATCTAAAACAAAAATCTTCTTGACATTCGTATAAATTATTTTACTCTGGTTTTATTTTGTATAGGAAAAAGTGAAATAATCTTTATTGAGCAACAAAACTGGTAATATACAGTTTTTCTAAAATATTTCAAGTTAAATAGACAATGTGATACAAATAAAAAGATCATCCGACAAAGTTGAAATGAAAACAAAAATAAAAAAAAACACAATTTAAGTTATTTCTTTTTTATAAATTTAATTAAAATTATACGATGTTTCCATTTCTTGCAATTGAACAATAGTCAATTCATTGCCTGCATTAAGACAAGAAATAACTTGAAATTTTCGACCAGGTAAAAGAAGAACTTGATCTTTTGATTGATCATGTGCATGACCACTAATTAATTTACCTGAATGACATTCAATAGTAAAAAGTGTTCGTTGACCTGTTTTACCAAAACTTTCATCATCTTCAAGTGCTTTAATACATGATGTACAATTTGAAAATTCCCAAGTTGAAAATATTCGTCCATTAGGATATTCATTACTAACATCTTTATTTGTTCCTTGATAAACAACACGCGTTATTGATGGTAATTTTGAAAGTGCTTTTAAAATAAGTTTCAAATAAAAAAACCATGGTTTTAATTGTTCTTTATTTTCTGAACGTAATGTTTGATTAAAAATATAGTTAAATGTCATTTCTTTTGAATACCATTCCATTGTATAAAGTGCTATTGCAGCTGATTCATCATCAGTTAGACCATCTGGTGGATTCTGACAATTTTGTTTAACTATCCAAGCCATTTGATCGACTTTATCAATAAATTTAGCAAGAGGAGCAATAGCTTGTTCAAGAGAGACAATTGATACTCTGTCATATCCAGCGAATGGACATGTCAAATCATTAATTGATACAGCAGCCATTGCACCTTCAAGAGTTCGATTTGAATTATCATGTACATTTGTTATAGGTGTAGGATTTGAACCTAGAATAGAATAACATGAATTTATATATACATATAAAATTGATTTCTTATCTTCTAAAAAATTTCGAAAGAACAAAGTCTGAATTGTTGACTTACTTGGAAGACTTGTTTTTGTCAATTTTCGTAGATCAGATCGAATCTTGGAAATTAATTGGTCTAATTCAACAACAATAGCTCTAATCTGTAAGAAGAAAAAAAATTTTTTTTTTAAATCGAAAATTAAAAAATGAAAATATAATCACTTTTTGATATTGCTTGGACCATTCTTCATGGCTTTTTTTATTCATACAAAATATATAGATACCAGAAAGTTGTGGAAGTTCATGAATATTAGGTATTATTTGTCGACTTAATCTACCACTGACAATAATTAAAAATGATATTTGTGGCTTCGATTGAATATATTCTTGACATTCATTTTCTGCTTCATATATTTCAACATTATCAAAAGCTTGAAATAGATTTTGTTGTGTAAAAAGATTATCTTCACTGTTGTTCGCGTCCGAATCCAACCAGATAATTGTAAATTTTTTGTTTGCACTATAAGCCATGGTAATGTTTTTTTTTTTCTTACTTCTGATATTTCAATCGAAGCATGTGTTATGTGAAAAAACACAATAAAACTTTTTTTTCCTGCTTTTGCTTTTTCTTTTCACTTTCAAGTGTCTTTATCAGACTGGCAATGTCGAACGAAAACAAATGTCCTACAGAGAGACACCCACATTTCTTACCTTACATAGTGAGTCAACATTGTATTTACCTATGTCATATTTTCTTTTCTTTTTCTTCCGAAAAGGACATTGGAAATTTTCAAAAGACGTCATGTACATAAACAATCAAGTGAATAATATTAAAATCAACAAAAATACAAAGTTTTGGTTGATATAATTGTTTTGTCACAATTGAAATATATTGAGCATACTGGCTATCATCAATCATCAGAACTATTTCAATCACGATTGTAAATCTTTATTTACAAAAAAAAAAGAGTTTTCGTACATAATGAAACATTGATTGAGGGAGTGTCCTGAGCAAGAGCGAGGGTCAAGGACGTCACCTTTTGACAATCTAGAGAACGCCATGAAAATCTTAAGAATAAGTGCCTAGAACTGATCTGTCCAAAAAGTTTTGTTCTATTTCGGAAATAGCATTTTAGTAATGGAAGAAAGATTTTTTTATACCTGTATGTATCTCCCTCAGATATAGAACAAAAATTATTTGAACAGTTCAGTTCCATGAATCGAACTGTTGAAACATATCAGTTACCATCAAAAGAATTGTTTTTATGATTTGAACTATTTTATTTCATTTATGCATCTGCACTTTATCAGTTTTAAGCTAATAATATATAAATCAAGTGTTATGATTTAAAGGAGTAATTTTATCTTGTTATGTCAAAATGGTGAAACTTAATAAATTTGTTAATGATAAAAGTTCTACCTTTAGACACACAGTTTGATGTCAATTGTTTATCGTTGTTCTACATAGATATCCTTTTGTCATAAGAAAAAAAAACGATAGTAATTAATGCTTAATTTTTTACAGACATTTTTTGTTGATGTATGATGAATTGTATGTAGAAATAAGTATTTTTATTTCGCTCATTTCAATTCTATCGAATTATTTTCTGATTGATCTACATTATCGATTAATCTTTGTAATCCTATGATGAACATAATTCTAGAAATTGTTGAATATATAAAGTTTATCTTAATTGATAATGATTTATAAGATAATGTTTATATTAATATCGTTATGTATTTCTATATCAAACGATTGAACTTGTCATTAGAGGGACTCAAATAATTTTATTAAATCTTTTTGGTTTTTCTATACTTGGAAAATTGGTAGTGGTATTAAGCATTTCTTTTAAGGGAAGCTACATCGTATTTTACAAATACAAAAATATACTTTTTAGCTTAAAATTCTGTCATAATGAATATTAAAGTTAGTTCAATATTGATTTTTCTACTAAAAAAAGTAAAGATAAAGATGATAGATACAGTTTCTAAACGGTCACATTTGATGTTGAAACAATGATCATTAAACTTTTGATGAATCAAATATAATATACAGTATTTAATCATCGATGGATTGTTTGTGTTTTTATTGTTGGTAATGTATTTTTTATATTATTCGATGATAATGATGATGAATAAATGATTCTTTTCTTTTTATTATTATTTTGCATCAACAGATTTATTTAAATCACTTATATTGATAGCAACAAGAATAAAATTGATTCAATTTGTTATTAATATTAATGTAGTAGAATTGAAAGTATGTAATAATCAAGAAACTAAGAAGAAATTTTGTTGATTATTGAAATATTGATGGCTCAGCAAATATTACGATGATTATTTTCATATTACAAATAATGCAAACTATCTATATATGGTCAATTATTTAATTTATTAATAAAAACAACGATTGTTGTTGAAGTTGATTTTGTTTCTTTTTTAATAATTTCGTAATGCATCAACCATGAGTGATGTATGATGTAAGACGGTATATTTATATTTATAAGTAATGAAAAAAACGAAACGAATGATTTGAATTTGAAATATTCCATTGTTAAAGTTAAATGAATGCACGATTATTAATAGTTTCTTTTTTTAATTCATTTTCATTTTTATTTATAATTGACTGATGTCAACTGATAAAACTTGTCGATTGAGGTTTGTCTGTACGGATGATGCATGCATCGATCATTTAAAAATTCAATAGATAGATAGATGAATATTTTTTTCAATGATTTCTTATGATAATTATAATAGAATGGATAGTGCTGAATATATATAAAACAATGGCCTTCGTTGTTCTTTTTGATTTTGAATTATTCAAAAAATAAGTTCTCGTGCTATTGATTCATTTTCTAATGATTAAATAGATTCTTTCGACATAAAGTAACGGGTGGACCAGAAGAAATTGCCGGCTTTTGATAGGCCGTTTTCTCAAGTTAGACTGGATGAGAAAGTTTCGTTTTGATGTCAAAAGATAGAGAATTTTGTGTAGATTTTATTGATATGTTCTTTGCGAAATAAGTATTTGCCCTTCTCTTGTAGCATTAAAGGTATTCGATACTACAAAAACAGCATTTGCTCAACTGCAAAATGAGACACTTTTAAACTAAAATTTTTGCTCGGTTAATTATAGTTCAAAAATTTCTTCTTGTAACTAATCGATGCCGAATTTTTCGATGTATCTAGTGGTATCTTTATTTTTTTAAGCTTAATTGTTTCTGCTTCAAAAACCACAAAATATTAAGAAAATACCTTGGGTTAACAGAATCGTACTGTTCGTTGCCAATTTTCTCCGAGCTCGGTTTTACAAAAACTACTCTTTTTATATCAAAACATGTAGAATTTCAAGCTCTACAAAATGCTCTTCATTATTAAGAGCTGAATTCCTTTTCTAAACTAATGATGAGGCTGAGATCTTTCGCCAGCAATAAAAAGGTACCAAAACTGGACAATTAGGCATTTTTTGCAAGCGGCTTTTCTAATGATGAAACTTTGTCTCCAGATTTGGTATTGGATCTTAAAAATAGATAAGCCTCCGTACTTTATGATACCGCATTTGAATAGCGTATGTACGTAGAATCATTTAACAAAGAAAACTAACCCTTTATTCCAGTAAAACGCTGAGCAAATGATGTTTTTGTGGTATCGAATACCTTTAATGCTACAAGAGAAGGGCAAATCCTTATTTCGCAAAGAACATATCAATAAAATCTACACAAAATTCTCTATCTTTTGACATCAGAACGAAACTTTCTCATCCAGTCTAACTTGAGAAAACGGCCTATCAAAAGCCGGCAATTTCTTCTGACCCACCCGTGAATTCGATTGTCTTTTAGGTTTATTCGAGTTGCAACTAAGTACATAACCATTAGTTCACTGACAAATGGTCCCGCCATTGTCTTCATTGATTGATGGTTTAAAATTTATTTTATTACTTATCGAACATTCTATTTAAAGATCTTATCTTAATCAATATATATTCTTTTACTTAGTGATTAGATGATTCACAGCATCATACCATGTCTGGATCGTGTTGCTAGATCATTGAGCACTAGAGAAAGAAAGTTTGTTGTCATTTCATTTGAAAGATAGAATAGTTGCGGAATGAATCAATCAAACAACATGGATCATTTCTTTTACATCATGATCACAGTCACTGTCCATATCGCCGATTTCAAAAGTATCGTCAACAGTAAGCATGTATTGCTCTTGTTTGTACATTTACTATTAATAAATCCTTTTTTTTGCTGGATGATTCGCGAATTTAAAAAATGTATTTTTTTTCAATTTTTAATGGTTACTTTCGCTGAAATCAAGGACTCCCTTCTTAATTCGATTACTTCAAGACATTCCTGGACTGGTTATAGGAGAATTGTTCGAATGATACCTATACTTGAATGGTAATAGATTTGTTAAACAAATATTTTTTCTTTGTCTGACTATTTGAATTTTTAAATTTTTTGACAATCAACAGAAAATTAAATTTTATAAAACATAGAAACGAATTCTGTAATTTTGTTTTTCGTTCAACAAAATCTTATGAAGGAACTACATTAAAGAACTTTCAAGATGCAATTACTTCATAGGTTGTAGAAAAATAATAAAAATCTATTACAAAAATATCAAGTAAAACATAAAATAAAGCTAAATTTTAATTGTTTCAAAAGTTGAAACTAAGCTTTAAAAGAATGTTTTCTTAAGATGTGAGATAGAGAGTCTGCCAGTAGGTTGAATCAGCATTTTCCAGGAAAAAGCGATCTATTGAAGAAAATTTTAGCAAAACTAAAGAAAGCTTGTCTGCTAGTTAACATTAAATAGGAGATTGTCTTTCCTGTAATAATATATATATATATTAACTTTATGTTCGATTTCATTTTCATTCTCGCTACTGGAAGAAGGATAATACGTCGAGTAACTACAACGACCAGATGTTTGTATGTTAGTGTGCTCGTTCCACAGAAATGAAACAAAGTATATGCACAGAGTAAGCGAGGGTGAATTTTTGGAGAAATAATCTCAACAGATTTTGCTGAACATACTTAAACTCAAGTTTTAGCAGACTCCGAAGGAACTTCGAGGCGTTCATTACAGCAAAATTGTCTAGAATGATGAGGTTAATAACTCAAAACCATATTAAAAATCATTTTTTAATTTTCATGTGTGGTTTTATGATATAGATGGACATTAAAAGATTTACAACATAAAAGGATATTGTTTCTGCTACAATTAATATATTAGAATTAATTATATCTAAAAATGTTAGCATTGGGGAAAAAACTGTTGACGCAATTCCTGCAGGATTAAAATGTGAGACATAGTGTAGTTGTTGTTACTAATCACGAGAATATTGTTTTATTCAATCTATCTTAGAATCTATTTCGTCATCATCTTTTACTTAATCTTCTAGAACTTCAAGAAGGAAGCAGTTCATATATTCTCATGTGATGTTAATGATATATGATCACTAATAGAGCATCAAAAATGTTTGTTACGGTCGCTGTTGGTCTGTGGAGGCCGTCTGTCATGGT